TACATTCCCCAACTGCTTGAATGCAGCCCTTGAACCCATTCCTCGCCGCCTTCTTCAAGCCGGGCAACCCGATCATCTCGCAGTGCACTCCCGTGCATCACCACATCCTCCTCGTCCCGACCACCGAGTTCCTCCTTACCTCCCGCGAGACCGAGAGCGGCCAGTCGTCAGCCGATCTGATCGGGTCTGAAGAATTCTTGGGAAGCCATGTATTGCGAATTCCCAGTCCGGCTACTGCCGCGGGAGGGAAGGATGCTGTCGGGAACCTGCGCGAGGTGAGAGGAAAGGCGCGGCAGTACTCCACACTCAATGGCCGTAGCGTTGTCATCAAAGATGCTACTGTGTTCAGCAACAAGGGTGTGTTTCTCTCCTTCCCTTTATGCCCTTCTGTTATCATCACCTTCAACGCGCGGTCTACCTGACAAGGGGTTCACTAAATCTGCTAAACAGGTTTCAAAACACTCGCCCAGACCCAATTGCTAGGCGACTCTATCTGGTACGCAGACACAATCGAGCCCCGACAATGGCTGATCTACTACATATCACGGCCCTTGATTGGAATCTGGGAGGAGATACCGATAGAGCCGGCTATCTTCACCGAAGGCTTGGCCAAGAGAAAGCGCGAGGAGGCCAACCGGGCATCTGCCGTCGAGAATGGAGAACCAAGCGTCCCGAGGAAGAAGGAGATCAAGAGTTTCCATGATCTCCTGAATCATTTCCCCATCATCGCACGACAGATGCACCCCGGCTTAGAGACGCTGTTCAGGGAATTCACCATGGTATTCCAGAAGCCTCTCCCACCTCCACCATCAGCTGCTAATATCCCGGATCCAATGCCCGATGGGCCCATTGCTACGGCCATGAGAAAGGTCCGTTCGAATAGCTTAACGGCGCGGAGAAAGGCCAGTATCTCGCATGAAGAGAGTGGTAGCGGCCAAGGAACAGAGAATTTCTTCGTCGAGGATGACGAGGATGTCATGAGAGCGTCTCTAGAAACGGCTGTCACAAGTGCTATTGACCTATTTCAATCAGTTGATAAACAGCAGCTTTCCATGCTTGGCGCCACCACCGATCTCACTGGCCCGTTGGTGGAGCGACTCATTGAAAGATACGTGGCAGAGAATGTGCACGACTTCCTATGGCCCCGATTAACGACAATGCGACGGCAAGACGACCTAGAGTTGGATGCCAAAATACGACAAATGGAGTTTGTTGATATCTCACAACTAGGCATCTTCATCGAGGGGGGTTTGAAGGGAAAGCAAGATCTTACTACCAGGCTCGAAACTGCTATCAACGAATTTCGCAAGATGACTAATGCTCTATGTCCTCAAGACATGATGGAGTCCTTGATATCAACTATGAAAGCGGCCACCCAGCTCGCTGAGCAGTCAAGACCCGACATTCAAGGCGGGACAACTTCTGAGAAGCCAACCCTCACCATCAATGCAGACACACTGGTGTCTTTATTCCTCCACATTATCATTCATGCCGGTGTTAGGAACCTTCAGGCCCGGCTCCTCTATATGAGACATTTCATATTCATTGACGATGTTGATAGTGGTGAAATGGGCTATGCGCTAAGCACGTTCGAAGCTGTGCTATCTTACCTGTTTCGAGATTCAAGTACTCTGAGGAGAGCAAGCCGGCGCAATAAAGCATTGTGGGACGCGACAAGGAAAGGAGACCTAGCTGAACTCAAAAAGATCATGGAGCCCGATGCAAACGCCGTCCGGGACGATGGTGATGACGATGATGAACAAATACCCTCGCCGATATCGAGTCGGGCGCCATCGGTTAGTTGGAGTATGGTGAACGGCTCATCTAGGAGATCGTCGACAGTATTCACACCATCTGAAGCCTACTCTCAGGGGTCGGGACTAGGTCACGTGTTTCCCTTCCAGAACGAATCGGAAGGCAAAGCAGAGCTGCCTCCTGTAAAACGTCCCAAGAAAGTCGCTATGGATATTCGCAGCATGTCAAGCGGTTCAGAGTATTCTTATCATTCTCGAGCTACAAGCGTTGCTACAATGGGCAGCGGCATCGAAGGAGACACCTCAATTGAGCGCCTATGCCAGACCCAAGACTCGTTCGGAGAGTCAGTCCCTATGATGGCAATCCAGAACGAGCAACCGGAAGTGTTGAGATACTTGCTGTCGCTCGGAGGCTACTTCCCTCTCAACGCCATCCTGCATGATTCCAACCACGAGGATACTACCTTGTTGAGCGCCGCCGTTCAGCTGGGCCATACTGAGCTGATTGACATAATATTGGACTTCGTCATGTCATCAACAACAGAAATCCAGATTAGGTCCTATTTTGCACTGCAAGACAGGCGGGGTAGAAGTGTCGCACACTATCTTTTCCACGCGCCGGCCTTGATCAAGCGCATCGGCAACTTGCTACCTTGGCGCCAAAAAGATAAGAATGGACAGACACCACTATTTGCGCTATGCCGGTCATACGATCACACATACTACCACGACATGGTCAAGGACGGTCTTGCAGCTGCAACAAAAGCACAGGGTGATGGCCAGCCGCTTCACCTAGATGAGCATGTTGACTCGAAGGGCAATACTTTGTTGCACATCATTAATGACCACCAGCTAGCTCTTGAAATCCTTCGCCATTGCGATGTTGATGTCAACGCTACGAACGACAGGAAGTTCACTGCGCTCATGGTCGCCAGTAAGTATGGTCGGTTTGACATGGTTAGAGCGCTTTATTCGGACCAGAGGGTAGACATAACAGCAAAAGAGTTACGAGGGTTGACGGCCGTCGAACTTGCTAAAGATGACGACGTCCGTAATAAGATCGATGACCTAGCCCTGTTCACTATGCCACCAGGTGCGGACGCCCGGGTTACTGGCGTCGTGAGGTCTTTCTTTGTGGAAGATGCTACGATCCGACTCGTCCTAAAGTCAGGTGCCCCCGCAGACAGCACAAGCTACACTGTGACGACGTCTAGGCGCTCCATGGCAGACTTTGAGCGCTTAGCGAACCTTCTCGCTGTGGAGAACCCAGCATCCTGGATACCAAATATCGCGAACCAGCGCTCCCCATTCCAGATACCTTCGAAGCCATCAAGAGCTGTGCTCAAGGACATCCAGCTGCGGACCAACGCCTTTCTCGGCATCTTACTAGCGCACCCTACCTTCGCAACTCACGAAATGCTGTGGGAGTTCTTCTTGGTCCCCGACCTACAGGGCGACCTGCTAGAGCAGCGGAGTCGCCTGAAGGCCGAGTCGAGGGCTGAGAAGGTCCGGGACGAGTACGAGCCTCTGGAAGACACGCGCGAGGTGGAACAGTTTGTAGATCACGCCCGCGAAATGGTCCGAGGTGTCAACTATGCGACCAAGAGTGTGGCCCGGCGCGTCAACAGCGTAGGCGTTGCCGCAGTAGGTAAGTAACGGACACGCCCACCATCCCATCCCACCCACTCGTGAACAGACAAATTTATACTCACTCACCTCCCCCAACAAACAGACCTCTACGACGCAGCGACGCTCCTCTCCCGCGGCGTCTCCAAGCTCGCCTTCCTCCCCATATCGCACGCCGCGGCGCTCTCCACCTACGCAGCCTCCCTGCTCACGCCCCCCTCGTCCAGCCCGCCCCACGCGCTGCACGCCTCCCTGCTGTCCCTGCAGTCCACGATCCAGGCGGTGCTCGCGGCGCTCGGGCGCCCCCCGCAGCTGGCCGCGCAGGCGGCGGCGGCCCGGCGCGCCGCGGACCGCGGCCGGCGCGCCCTGGCCCAGTCGACGCGCTGGCCCCTGGGCCTGCTGGACGACACCCGCCAGCGCCTCAACGAGGACCGCGCCGACCGCGCCCGCCGCGCCGCCGACGACGCCGACGCCGTCGCCCGCGAGCTGCGCTACACCCAGCAGGTCGTCGCCGCCGAGCTCGCCGGCTGGCAGGACCTGCACGAGCGCTTGGGCAGGAGGGCGCTGCGCGAGTACGCGAGGGGCATGCTGGTGCTGGAGCGGGAGCGGCTGGCGGGGTTGAGGAGGGCGGGGCGGATGTTGTGGAGGAGGGGGGATGGGGTGGGTGTGGGCGGTGGTGGATGGGGTCAGGGTGGTGGCGGTCGTGGTGGTAATGGTGAGCCCTCTCCTGTTGGTGCTACGAGTCCCGGCATGGTCATCGGGGATGTGGATGTGGATGATGATGAGGACGAGACCGGGACCGGGACCTGCGCCGGAGCGGAGACTAGTGGAGGTGGTGGTGATAACAGCAGTGCCTCCTCAAGTTCTCCGGGCTCATCTACTGCCGCTGCTGCCGCCGACGTCGATGGCGAATCCTCTGGTTCTACATTTCCTACTACAGATGATGCGCTGGAAACCGACAACCAGAGCTGAACATGAAGACAAAGGAAAACATTCACGAGATGATGTAATGAAGTGGTAATCCACGGTCACGTGTGAAGATAGACAGATAGACGACCCGGTTAGACATGAGCGAGGGAGACGCGGCACACGCACGCGTTAGACGAGGTGTTGGTGGCTTCTGTTAGCGACATCTATAGACTTGCTTGCCTTCCGTTAGGCGTTCCGTTCATCGTCCTTCGGAGTCAGGGAGGGAGGGAGGAAGAGGAACTGACTGACTGGCTGGCCGAGCTGCTTGCTTGGTTGTTAGCTTGGGTGGTTGGTGTGCTCTGGCTATTTGCTCGGGTTGAAGATAGAAAGAGAAAAAATAACGGAGTTGAATCCATGCAATAACTACATCTCCTCTCCACTCATGTGTTGTTCATCAGTGTTCGCCTTTCACGCTGGATGCCAGGTCCGGTGGTTCGTTTTGAGATCAAGACAGCGGATTGATTATTGTACCTCGCTTGTGCCAGCAACCGGTAACCTGGAATGAAGAAAAATCGGTCTTCCTTCGAGTACCATACACCTACTGATGTGCTGGTGTACTAATACCTACTAATCGACTATTAATGGAATAATATACTAATACCTGTGCATATAGTTATAAACAAGCTACAAATTTACCAACAAACAAACAAAGCCCGGGTGGTGTAGTAGGGCCAGCACGCCATGAAATGAACCCTAGCATTCTGTCGGTTGGAGGGAAAAAACCAGTTGTTCGTCCGAGGCTGATCGTGGAAGTTCCAAGGTTCGAATCCTTGGCCGGGCAATTTTTTTTTTCTTCCTTTTTTCTTCCTCCTCCCCTCCTCCTAGGGGAACATATGGAGTGTGTAAAGAAAAGAGGCAACCCATAAGAGCGGCATTATAAAACCATCTTCTGCTCGTTGTTCTGTCACACACATACGTCACCTACCCAGCTGCGCTCGTCCGAACCCAAGGACCCCGGCCTCCACTCAGCTGTTCAAAGGTGGCAGTGAGGGCCGACCTCGTTTCGACCCAAAAGCTCAGACGGCGGGAACGATCTACCCATCCAGCTCGACTAGGTAGGCTAGGTGCCCGACCCGTCCAGCGGCCGTCTTTCTTGTCGGTAGACAGGCCGGACGGCCGGTCAGCCGGTGGACCTCAAGCTGATTAGCTGCTACTCTGATTGTCCGATATTCCTTTCTGGTGGTGACCTGATGATAACTGCGAGGCGGCGGGTAACCTTGATTGCTAGATTCATACGCTTTGTCCTGGCGTGCGAAAAGAGGGGGGAGGGTGGTGATCTTGTGATATTCCACGTATACAGTTCCTGGTGGCCGGTCACTGTCGACCTCGATGTCTGTCTGCCCCACGAAAAGATATGTGTCTAGTCTTTATCAGTCTCTATACGATATCTAAAACAGACAAACCCCATCGTACCATCGTACCCATGGGCTGATCTCGGCCTCTCACATTATCCCATCCCTCCTTCGCCGCGTTTGTTGGCGAGACGAATGGTCTATCCCATGTCCAAGTAGCTGGGAACATGATAAGCCATCGCGCACTCGAACTGTTTCCCTTGTTCATCATCCAGCTCGGCACTACTTCTGTGTTGTTACACGGGGCTGGTTGACTACGTGTAGTAGGCATTTCCGGTCGTTGTTCACCTCGCCTCGCCTCGCCTCGCCTCGCCTCGCCTCGCACGTAAGGTACGTAGGTATCCGCATTGCGATCTTTGCCTCCGCATCCACAAGAGCCAACAACCAAACATATCGGTATCTCCAACTCTATCGATCGCATCTCTTACAGACTACGATATGCCATGCTGCACGCCATGCAAGAATGACTCTTCGACCCTAAGAGGGTGAGTCACCTCTTCCCGGCACCTGCAGCTTGCCTTAGCTTCGCGACATGCAGGTTTGCGGGTTCGGGTGTTCGTTTTCAAGCCTTCTCTCGCCCCAAACCCTTGGGAGAGGCTCTAGAAGGACCCGGAAGATAGTAGGAAAGGGTACAAGATGAACCTGAAACACGGCCGATCGTGCCATCTACCTACTGCCGTGCTGCTGTCATTGATGTACTTATCTACTTTATCGCCTCTTTCTGACCTGCTAGGTTGCTTCCATGTTACTTACCTACATGCCTGGCTACCCATGCAGCTAGTATACTACCAGAAGGTAGATCATACCTAGTCACTCACTCACACTTCGCTTCCTTGCAACCCCCGCCTTCCCTCTGCGTGCTACCTTACCCTAGGCACCTCCCCACGAGGCAGAGGACAAGAAACATGAAACATGAAACAAAAAAGACTCATCTTTCACTTTTTCCTGCCCAATGAGCGGCCGCCCGCAAAAAGAGGTGGGCTGGGCCCGGAGGGAAGTCGTCGGCCAATCGACCCGGCCTCGACGCGGTCGAGTCGGTGGGGGAGGCTTGGGAGACCAGGAGTGCGGGGTGCCGATTGGCCAGATCGACGCTCCACAGCAGACATCGTGGACAGCGCGCCGCATGGGGAATTTACCAGGGGTTGTCAGCGGTCAGCGCGTGCTGGCTGGCGAATCAGGGTCTGAGCAGGGGGAGGGGGGGGGGGGGGATCGATCTACCGCGGCGTCGTTCGGGTTTTTTGGCGCCCGCGCGATATAGTTATGCGCATAGGAAAGCAAAAAGGTCCCGAACAGACCTACGCGCCCACGGGGGAGGCTGTGCAGAGGAAGCGCGCTTAGATTGTATACCCAGGCGGCAAACCGCCAAGCCCGACGCGCGGGTAGAAGTGGCACTATCATGGATGTATACCTATCCCCCCCATATTGCAGATACTGTAGAGGACGTAGTTATAGGACGTCTGTAGGGGAGGGCGTTGTCTGTATTGTGTGCGCCGTAGGGCACATAGCGGTAATTTACTATGACGGCTAACTATCCGCTCTGCCGCTGCTTGGGTTCCCTTGGGGTCCGCGGCAATTTCTACAGCCGCCGCCTCATATAGAAGTGATTCTCCCTTTTCTACTACTATTACTACTACCTGCAATGCCGGAGCGGCGGCTTCCGAACAGCTGCGCCGCCTCGCGCCTCGCGCCTGCTCTGCTACCACCTGTGTACTTACTATACTCGCCATTGTTCCTAATATTAAGGGTCATTACGACTACGACTGCATTCCTATCCAGCTGTTCCGGGCGGATGGATGGCACGACGCCCGGCCGGGGCTGGGGCCTGGTAACTTGTGAGCTGACGATAATCTCCGAGGGGGGTTTACCCACCGGTGAAAGTCGTCAGCCGGCCGAGACAGCTAGTAAGCTCTGCGGCGCCTGGGCGGTAGCGAGAAGCGCTTGTCTCACGGATGCCGGAAAGGGGGCTGGCTTTGACGCCATGAATGCTACCTCTAGTCCTCTATACAGGCAGGCACCCAGGCAAAGCCTCGTCAGTGCAGCTGTGGCGCACCACCCACCCGCGTGATGTTCAGAGCGTAATGTTAGACATAGCCGCCAGGCGGGGAGAATCGATCGCGGTTAGTTATGGGGCGCCTTATTACAGCAGCCTCAGCAGCAGCGTCTTGCGATCTCGGTCGCCGGCACGTACCCGGGGCTCATCTTCATTTTAATAGCCGCTCGCTACAGAAATTTGGGGGCCCCATTGATTTACTTGCGTAGATCATACAAAAATAGTAGTGCTGCTAAGTACCCAATGATGCCATACCTACATAGAGACAAGGAAGCGAGGAAATGAAGGGCGGATTAATCGCTTCCCCGTCTCAGCAAGCGCAACAACCGCAAATGAAGCGGCAGAAGGACACATTTAATAGCGAATGTTGAAAGGGGTACTATGTAAGGTCAGGAGGACGCCGGGACCGGGCCTGCGACTGGCCTTGAGACTGACGCCAGGCTAGTCAACGGCCGAAGAACCTCTCGTCTTGTGGCACAATACTCAGCAGAGTGCGCGGCAATGGGCAGCGACTGCGCGCAACCGGGCGATTATTTCCTCGGGCGGTGCGAGAACTATCCGGGGGAGGCGGTGCGGATTGGGGCGGTAGAAACCCGTCGCAGGCGTCGCGACACTGCCGCGACTTTTGTCCTTCGCTCGCCGTGGCAGCGCAAATGCGCGCAGTGGTTTATCCTATCGCGCCCAGTCGCGATCCTCCCGTTCACATCGCGTCGATAGAGCAGAATCCCACGCGTATACGTGTAAGGGAGCACGTAGTACATAGTAGGTCTGGATATCCACCTATACCAGCCCTGGGGATCGTCGTCCGGGGTTGAGTGCTGGGATGTGACTCTGGAAGGGGCCCACACCAGCCGAATGAAGAAAGAAAGAAAAAGAGATGTCGAGCTAATGCACAATGCAAGTCGATGTGTCTATTTCTGAATGAGTCATAACCGCCTGCAGCGATCACTGGGCCCTTCGGTACCACAATACCCAATACCCGTGGTAGCGTCGTGGTACAGGCGGTCCCGCGGTTCCTTATCCTTGGAAGGGAAAACAATAGAGGAGACTGTACGAAGTAGGTAGTATTGTGGCACTGGGGCATTGCTGTAATGGGAACATCGGTTGTATGGGTTAGCAAATGGCAAATGACGACCCAGGTAGACTGAAGTGACTGAAGCGGGCAGCATCCAGTGAGTGTTGAGAACAGCCATTATACAATGAGACCCTAGAGGCTTGGGATCTGATAGGCGGGCGTGTAGGTGCAGATGGGGTCGGATCTGAGTTAGATCATCAACCAGATACTGTGCTTCGCATGCAGATAAAGGAGGGCATCACAGTGCCAGGGACTATATGCTAGACGTAGGCACGCTACTACGCCCCCTGACCCTGGCTGGCTGGCTTGCTATAGCCGCACATGGCAGGATAGGGTGGATGTCTTGAAGCGCAGTCTTGACGGGAGAGTTCCATCTCCATAGCCCCACACGACTTAGACCCTAGTTACCAGATATCAAGATATCTCACTACGTAGTATCATTCGATGGAGCTATTTTGGTGGTGAGTAGGGATAGGGAAGTACGTACTGGCCTTGTCTTGCATGCAACTTTAAGCTCAACGGCAGCAGACGGGACGACTTTCGACATGCCCAACGCGGCCCATTGCAAGGCCTGTCTACATAGTGGTACAATGCCTTACCATGACCATCGCGCCAGATGGGTCCATCGACGCAGCCCAAGGCCTGCCTGCAGAATACTAGAACCATTCCCGGCTCTCACTTTACACGATAAACGGCAGTATACATGGACGATGTACAGGAATACTTTCGGCCAGTAGCTCCAGTAGCCGCATTGCGGTCTTGTTTCAGGTCGGTGCTCGTCTGGATTCGCAAGACAATACATCATCAGCGAACCCTATTATGGCCCGAGTGGGCTATACCGCGCTGATTGTGCGTCTGGCCAGCCGGACATCGTGGGCCATCCATTTCGAGGATAAGAGGCACCAACATCCTCCTCCTCTTCGACCTGTCCCTTTCCGTCTCCGTTCGTCAGTCTCAAGCTTCAGTCCCAATTGCATCTTTTCCTTACTCGGCTTTTCTTTATCTCATACTCTTTAGACTATCCGCAGGGTAGGCCGCTCAGCAAGCGACCTAGGTTCCCTCTTTGCTTCACAGCAGGTTTTCCTCCCATCCTCGTACATATCCCGTCGTCTAAAGTCCCCAAGGAGCTGGCCCTCCTGTTCGTTTTTTGTTTCATAATACATAATCCGTTCTCGTGTGTGTACGAGAACATCCCCTATATCCATCAACATGGCTACGTGAGTGCAGATTCTCCTCGAATGACGGAAACAGAGAGCTTCAGCTACTAACAAGAATATGTCCATTATAGTCTGGCAGCAGACATGACTTTTGACTTCATCTTCCCCACATGCGAGCCGGCCACCCCGCCGAGCTTCTCCTTTGACCCGTCCTTCTTCCAGATGCCCTACAACCCGGGGCACGCTCGCTCAAGCTCGTATGGTTCCTTCTGCTCCACCACCGAGTCATCGCCCTCCGACTCGATCAGCACGCGCTTCACCACGCCGTCGCGGTCCCCGCCGCCCGTGCGGCAACACGGCCCCATCCTGCTGCCCAAGATCCGCTCCCAGGACCAGGCCATCGACTCGCCGGCGCCCGCGCCACCGCCCAAGCGAGTCAGAAGATCGCCCACTCCCGCCGCCCCAAAGCCCCGGCGCCAGAGCTCCGCCTTCCGCCCCGCGCACAACCGGAGCTTCACCAACCCGGAGACGCTGAGCCACTTCTCCAACTACTCCTTCGCCCCCAACGGCGGTAGCGAGGACAGTGGCAGTGGTCTTTCCCAATCGCTGCTGTGCTCCCCCATCACCTTCCCCCAGGATAGCAGCGCCGCCCACACCCGTCGTGCTTCGACAGTGAGCCTCGACGGCTCGGCCCTGGAGAAGTACGGCTTCCCCACCTACCGTCAGATGCCCACGTATGTCCCGGCGGCCGTCCCCCAGCAGTGCCAGCCGTCCCCTGAGCTGCAGCAGCAGTACATGTCCACGTACAACAACAGCTTCGCGCCCCGGGCGCCCTCCCCCCTGAGCCTAGGCTGCTCGACCCCGACTCCGGACCCTATGCCTACCATGGCCACCTGCACCCCCACCCCCTCCACCACGCTCATGCGCTACCTCACCACGTCCAACCCGGCGCCGTCCCTGGTCCGCACCATCTCCTTCCCGCTGCGCGACCCCAACACCAAGCACTTCTGGTGGGACGTGCGGCAGGTGCGGCCCTGGTCCTCCTTCAACCTGAACACGATCCTGTCGCTCCCGGGCGCGTCCCCGCTGCTGCACTGCCCCGTGCCGCAGCCGCTCCTGCAGCAGCCCACCACGATGATGGCCGGCGGCAGCAGCGCGCGGCACCCGGAGACCGAGGCGGCGCTTCACGGCATCTACGCGTCGTACTACCTGCCGAAGCTGAACGCGGCGCTCGCGCTGTCGTCGCAGCGGCCGCTGCAGTTCTCGGTGCCCTCGCCGTCGCCCAAGGCGCTGGCGGGTGGTGGCGGTGCTGCCGCCAGCGAGAACCTCTTCGTGGCCAACGCGGCGGGCGAGTCGTCGACGGCGGCGGCCATCTTCGGCGGCAAGCCGACGGCGCGCGTGGTGGGGCTCGTCAAGAGCTTCGACCGCTTCAACACGGGCATGCGCGTCGAGGGCAACGTCAAGCGCGTCGAGTACCTGCGCGGGCTCGCGCACCTGCACCACGCCATGCGCGAGCACGGCACCCGCTACGGCTTCATCCTGACCGAGATCGAGCTCGTCGTCGTCCGCAACGGCGGCGAGGCCACCCCGCACTTCGGCTACCTCGAGGTCACCAGCGTGCAGCTGAACGCCGCTGCGTCTGGCGACTACGAGGAAGACGACAACGAGGAGGAGGAGGAGGAGAGGACGCCGTTCACGGCCTGCCTCGCCCTCTGGGGCCTCTGCATGCTCGCCGGCGACGAGGCCCCGGGCCACGCGCCCTGGAAGGCCGACATCGGCGCCCCCGCCGAGGGCACCCGCCGCAAGGCCATGCCGCGCGACGAGTGGATGCCGCAGCCGCAGCTGGCGGAGAAGCGGGAGGCGAAGCGCGCGAGGGGCTGGGTGCTGCCCGAGGACCCGGTCGGTCGGAAGGAGCTGGGCAAGAGGGGGGTGCGGTACGGGGGCTGTTAATCAGCCCGACTTGAAGAGAAGAGTTCAAAGACAATCCTGGCTGGTTCCAGGTTTGGAATTGCTTCCCTGTGCGCAGATAGATAATGAATGAGTGAGTGGATGGATGAATGGGTTGGGTGGGTTGAGGGGGTGGTCTAAGTAATGAGGCATGAATGAATGACGCTTAGTTATGTTGGGTCGGGCGGACTGGTTGGTTGGTTTATTGGTTGCATCATCGGGTTGGAGTTTTTTATATAACGGAAATAATTGTTCGAATCAATGAGAAAATATTATAATACATGTTCGCTTATACACTTGGCTTCATCGCATGTTTGTGTTCATCCGGGACGACTGCTTGGTAACCAGAGGTGGTCGAGGGGGCTTGGGCTTACCCAACAGACGCAAAGAACTGGGTCGCAAACAACTTCGTTAAGCTCTGCTGGTTCCCTGGCTCTAACAGTTACCTAGTTAGATCGTACGTAGTCTTTCTGTGCGTGAGTATGTTTGGATCAAGCACTTGCTTGCATAGAAGGACTATGGTGACGTTGACATTGGACGTTGACATTGGACGTTGACATTGGACGTTGACATTGACTTCTTACCGTTTACCTTAACGTTTACCTCCAAAGCTTGTTGCAAGTAGCGATTGTCACCCACCAAAGCGACGCCGATGATATGAAAGGCCCGAAAATATATATATCCGCAGCGAATGATGTATGATAGGGGGCGCCGAGGAGCAAAAAGAGAAGGAAACATCAAAAAATTGCGGCTGTTGAGAATCGAACTCAAGTTTTCACGGCCACAACGTGATGTACTAACCACTATACGACAGCCGCTGGTTGTTCTTGTGACTGTTGACGAATTTTCGCTAATAGTTTTACATGGCCCTCGACCCGACGAGCTAGCTAGATCTTGTTTTGTTGGTGATGATCGTGTGTTTATCCGAAAATGTGCCGAGCTAACGTTAGATTATCACCTAGGTATAGCGCTGGAGTGATGGTTATTTCATCATTAGTTTATCGCAGCTATCCTATAGTCTGCCACGGCGAAGAGTGCGAAGCGATAGCTAACTATTGTACATGACGGTGGAATTGGGCTTCGAAGCGGAAACGGAGAGATGAACATGATGAAGATTGGCAGGCGTTACGTTCCTAGGTCGTGTTGTTGCAAGACAGTCAAGTCCGTCTTATGCCGAAGACCTACAGTAGCGCTTGGTAATAATTGACCCCCTACCCCTCCCCCTATTTCATTCAGCTTGGTGGGGGATTGATAGCTGTCAGTCAACCAGACGAACATCTATCCGCTCAAGTTGAGAAGCATCACTGCTTGATACTGAGTGCCAGGTAAACAAGTATCACGTTCTTACCTCTTGAAACATTATGGCTACTATCAATGGTTGGTCAATCAACTAGTAACTAGAGAAGGTAAGTTGATGCATGCCCGGCTATCTGGATATGTATCTGGGTGTCCGGTTATCACATGGCTATCTCAGTTCTCAATCCATGCATACCGCCCACCGCTCGTTGCATAGGCACACCGGAGCACCGAGCCTCATCTTCACTCAGCATGCTTTCAGCGACGGAATGGGCGCTCTCTCATCAAGTGTAGGTGGTAGTTTGTCTAACAGTTGCCTTCGCCAGTGATAGCGGCAATATCAGATAATAGTCGGTAAACGTGGCGGCCCGGAGGATCAACACCTAAGACATTGACTCGTTTCCCCGGGGCCTTTCGCATTACAGTGCTGCTTACCGCTTCTGCGACAGGCTAACAGACGACGTAGATAACATGATACCATGCACGTACGGATATATATGTAGTGCGGTAGGAGGGGCGCGGGATGGCGCGGGATGATGTAGCGCGGGCCGCGCCGTGGCATTGCTGCGGAGCGCAACTACCTACCGGTTCATCGGGGGCGCCAGTCGCGCTTATCGTGTGCGCGAGCCGGCTGCTGCTCGAGGCGGGTTGCCGACAGCGCTCCTCTGCTGGACGTCGGTCGGCATGTTGGTAGGTGCCTCCGGAAGCTGCTGTTGGTGTTGGCCGAAACCGGCGTGGGCAGCTGCGCGCAGGTCGCCATCGCGGGGTTTCCGGACGTCGTGCGCAGTGAGGTGGGGGTCCAAGAGGAAGAGAGGGGAGGGATAGGAGGACTTGGTCGTCCTGTGCGGCGTGGCGGTCGGCTACGAAGACGAGGAGACACCGGTAAACCGGAGTGGGTTGCGAGGAAGCCCGTGGAGAAGACTACGATTTGGCGGTGGGAGTAGGGGGGTAGAAGGTGAGAAGAGGGTGGTCTAGTTAGTGATTGGTAAAAGAGCATCCTGTACCATGTGCAGGAGCTGATCATCTGGAGGGCCGCTGTATTATACAAGACAATTTTCTATTTCATAGGTGTGATATCTTCAGGCTATGCAATTTTTTGATGACCGAGAATTCGATTCGTGTTTATAGCAAGTGAGTGGGAAGGAAACAGGAAACAAGATCGGTGAGTTTATGGCTGCTCGGAATTCAAGTATTCTAGCTATCGAGCAACCGTCACGGTGATTTGCGCCGTATGGCTCCGCGGTATTGAATATTTGGGATACGGTAGGTCAGTTACTTCTACAGGTCGCTCTATGTCCTCGACACGCCCAACCTGTCTTCAGAATGCGATGTTCGGTGTCTAATCTTATATCGGTTGATCACACGCTACGCGCAATACAGTAGCTTGGATCTGAGAGCAATGAGACAGGGCGACTGGTCTGTCGCCATATCATTAAGACGAACAAGCCCTCATATGAATTGATCATCCCCTTAACCCACCATTGATCGAGTTTACATACAGATTCACCAAGTCCTACTCCGGAGGGCAGAGGGGTGGTTTGATAATACCATTTATACTAGGTAGCATGTGTACTGCTGCTCTGATGTTTCCAAGAAATGCCATAATCATACTTATCAAGGGGCAAAAAGCAAGTAACGCCAGAGGTCCTGTTATCGATGTAGACCTCACCCGCTGCTGCCACTACCTACGCCGATGAGGCTGACACGGATGATCAGTGGGATGGGGGCTGGTAGTCGTCGGAGGGGGAGCTGCGCCTCACTTCGACCAGGCGGCACGTGTACCACTCCTTCACGCAGGTGCTCGCTCAACTCCCAGACACGGCTGCGCGGGCTGCTGGGCATGAAGGCACCCGTGAGATGGATGCCAACGCGATCCGGGTCCGGACGGCGATGCGCAGCCCACCTTATAAAAGGCAGGGAGCACCTACCTGCATGAACTTGGGCGACATCATGTTCCTGGATGATGAGGAGGTTGAAGATCAAGGGTCAGTCCCACAGGCAGGGACAGAGAGGGGTAGGAGAAGGAGAGAAGGCAAACCCAAAAACAGACACCAAAAAGGGGGGGAACAGGAAAAGATGAGAACCAGGGTAGTCAGGGTAAGGATGAGAGTGGGGACGCGATGACGGCGAGGACGAGGGCGAGGATGGAAAGGAGGAGAAGCTCAAGGGGCTGACAGTAAGAATAGAGGCTCGAGGTGCAGCACGGCATGGCGGAGAATGCCATGCTCGATGTGCTGCTGCGCACGGATGGATGAGGACGAGCTGCTGCTGCTGTTGCTGCTGCTTCCGCTGCTACGATACCAGCTCGCGGAGAAGTATCAGAAGCGCCTGCGGGACGAGCCAGGGGATCATTGATATCGATGGATTCGTAATCGACCTCGACGTCGATCGGTGTGTTCGCGGTGGAAAAGGAGTAAGTAAAGATTGCTTGCCAGTGGGGGGACAGGAGTAAATTGGTTGGCAGAGATGAGATTTGAAGACAAAGATTTTTCTGCTCCTCTTTCTCTTGATTACCTAGTCGCGCAAAAGCCCATCGGATGCTGGACTTTTGGATTCCCGGCCGGGATGAATAGGGTTGTTATCGTCGGTGTATATTTAGTTATGGTAGATTGGAGTAAGCAATGTTGCAGAAGGGAACATGGGAATAGATGTGTTCTAAACCATGCTGTCCATAATCAACACCTTGCAATGGCATAGGGACGGATCCGATATGCTCAAAAGTCCAGCATGGCCTGAAGAACGAGATATCAGAGTTGAAACAGGTTATGACTGTTACTGGTGTAGTATGTTTGATCTTTGCATCTCAAAGCTGTAGTGGTAGTTATATCATGTTGATATGACAAGGACATGTCGAAGGAGCTATAAGTTCGCAACAATCACGGGGCTATCATATGACAGGATCCTAGACCGATCCCACCATCCAGCCACGTAGTAAAAGACCATGCGGCTTGATCAAAAATTTATTCTTATTTCTTTCGTATTCATCATCTCTATATGCGAAGCTACTCTAAAAGCTCGCAAGATGGGATCTAGATATGGGTGCTATTGGTTCCTTAACCCTTAGCAGCACCAGCCTTGATCAGTAGGATATCACCATCATCCACGACATAATCCTTGCCCTTCGTCATGATCTTGCCCTTGGCCTTGACCTCGGACTCGTCACCCAACTCCTTGAGCATTGTGAAGTTGAAAACCACAGCCTGGATAAAGGTCTTCTCAAAGTCGGTGTGAATGACACCAGCAGCTTGAGGTGCTTTGGTGCCGTCTCGGATAGTCCACTGTCTGACTTCGTCCGGACCCACAGTGAAAAAGCTGCGAAGGTGGAGCGCTTTTCGCATCGTGGTGACGACCTTAGGGAGGGCAGACTCGATACCGAGCTTCTTACATTCCTCAGCGGCTTCCTCCTCCGTCGCAAAGCCTGTCAATCGCTCTTCAAATGACACTGAGATGGGCAAGATGGGGTCGCCAGCGGCGTGTTCCTTCATCCACTCGGCAATGAGGGCTAGATGCTTGTTCTTCTTGCGGGTATAATCCCTCTCCGACAAGTTAACCAGATACACTACTGGCTTTGCGGAGAGAAGGAACATCGTGTTGATAACCTCGACCTAGTAACATTGTTAGTCAACCAAACAAATGATGCAATGTTGAGTAAGAATAGATGTATGGATGTCTTTTATCAGATCGTGTTTTTTATCACAGTATGACCTCGAGCGTTGTTTTAATTGAGGCATTCGAAGAGCTGGGATTAGATCAGGCGCTATGGCCCTTTGTCATCATAAAAGAGGGGAGGGTGGTGAAGAATGAGAAATGAAGAAAGCTTCCTTACCTCTCTGGTAGACCAGTTGCCCTTCCGGACATCCTTGCCATCCTTCAACCACGCAAGGGTCTTTTCTATAACGGCCTCGTCCTCCTTCGCCCGCTTCATCTCCAAACTCTGCCCACCGAGTCTGGTCTTCTTCTTGGAGTTCTCTAAAGCCTTCTCGACGAACTCGATGTCTTTTAATCGCAGTTCCTCGGCGATGATATCCAGATCTCTGACGGGGTTGACATCACCCTCGACGTGAATGATCTCGGCATCATCAAAACACCGCACGACCTGGAAGATGGCATCGACGGCTCTGATGTGTGATAAGAAAGCATTACCGAGACCAGCACCAGTTGATGCACCTCTCGTCAAACCAGCAATGTCGTAGACTGTTAAATGTGCGGGTACTCGTGACTTGGGCTTGTATTTTTCGCAGAGCCAATCGTACCGGTCGTCAGGGACGATGACACGGGATTCCTCTGGGTCGATAGTGGCATAGGGGAAGTTCTTTTTTCTTTGGTCAGCCCTCTGATCGGAATGCGGAGGCGACGGCAGATGAACCTACGGCGGGGTTACCGAGATGGCACTTGGTAATGGCCTGGAACAACGTCGACTTGCCGACGTTTGCGAGACCAACGATACCACTCTTCAGGTTGTTGCCAGGACGACCTAGAAGAACCTTGTCCTCCACGACAGCCTTTTTGGGAGGCATTTTAC